TCTCTCTCTCTCTCTCTCTCTCTCTCTCTCTCTCTCTCTCTCTTTCGCTAATCCCGTCGCCTTTCTCTCGCTTTTGCCGCGACGCTTTTGCTCGCACACGCTACCCGAGGATGCTGACGAATGCTATCGATACTTTCGCTTCGCTATTCTACATGGCGCACTTCGCGTCAATATACTTTCAGCTTGGCGCTTTCGCAATATCGATCAACATATCGACACACTACAAAAACACCGCACGGAACGTCGCTTGGTCGCGAGCGCCAGCTACGCGCACCGTTCTATTGTTCCGTTAGAAAATAATGAAATAAAATAATGACAATCATTTCTCGTGTATGAAGGGAGTTCGCGAGCTGCTCACGCCGATTAGAACTTCCGCGGCTTTGCCGTTTTTTGTTTGAGAGCGCGCCCGCGATGATCCGTCCTTACAAATGAAGAACGTAAATTTCGTCGGATTACGCGGGCCCCCTGTGTGGCCGCGAGGCGAGCAAAATCCGCTGCGAGTAAATTTCGTGAGAATTAATGCCCCTCGTAATTCGGCGAGCCGGCTGGGAAAATACGCGCGGGCGGTATTTATGAATGTACCGTAGATGCATCAGCGAAGTTTATCTGCGTAATAAGTTCATCGCGAATCGAAGTCGAATTGACCATTCGCTGGAATATATAGTATTTGATCGAGGCTTCGGTATCTCTCTCCTCCCACTTTCATTCTCTCTATCCCCGTCTCTTTTTCTTTCATTCTTTTTTCTCTCTCTCATCCCTCTCCCCTTCCTTCTAGCTCTTTCTCTCTTCGAGGGGAGCTCATCTGCAGGAAACGTGATTTTTTTCCCGAGAAAAAAGATATTGATGATAAAACTATTGTTTTTATTCGCGAGCGTCGACGCATGTCGTAGCTGAAAAGATCGATGGCTGTGAACAGACTCTACTCAACAACGACACACAGATCGCGATGTGGCATCGTTTAAGAGATCCCGCACGATCCCCAAGAGCAACATTTAGAGACGCGTCGCAATGATCGTTACCCTCAAGTATGAAAATACGTTATTATGTTGACAGTAGAGGCAGTCCATATTGCTAATCAACTATGCCAGTACGGCTACTTCTTCCCGGTGAACGACTCCAAGACGCTTACTGTAAAGGACGATAGCTCTCTGTATAGGTTTCAGGTATGTTGCGTCACAAGTTAATAGTAAGACACATAAAGTTCCCGATTTTCTATGAAATTCTTTATCTCTCTCATCTAATTGATACGTAGACACCCTATTATTGGCCGTGGCAACATAGAACCCCCGACAACGTGGAGTACGCGATTTATCTGGCTAAGCGAACCCTGAGGAACAAACAACGTCACGCTCTCGAGGACTATGAGACCGTACGTAGCCTCTACATTTGCCTTATTTGCACTTTGATGGCCGCACTTATTTCAAAAAAATTTCAAATCTCGAGAGCTCGTTTAGACGGTATCTAAAGAGACGGATATCCCTCTTGTACATAAATTCGCACATCCAGTTATATGTGACTCTTACACGGAAAAAAAAGATTTGCTAATATATGGACAACTAAAATTATTAACTGCAGGAGCAAATTTTCTTGCTTTCATAGCAAAATTATTTAGTTGTGATAACTAAATAACTTTGCTATGAAAGCAAGAAAATTTGCTTCTGTAGTTAATAATTTTAGTTGTCCATATATTAGCAAATCTTTTTTTTCCGTGTATGAGTGTTATAATTATAGATTATTATTATCGTAAAATACTTTACAACTCGTTGGCAGAATAAGTCACAATTTTCTACGCGACTGCGGCCGTTAAAGTGTTAAAAAAACAACAACAAAGAAACTAAAGGAAATATCTGTAAGACAATTTGGCGATTTTCTCTCTTACGAAAAATTGCATTGTCCTCAGGATGCTTTGAACAGTCTGCGCAAAAATCTGCAGAACAAGTGGGACATCATACAACTTCAAGCCGAGGAACAGGTGAATACTTATCCGCCACTATTACGGTATATCCGCATATTTGTCAACGATAACGGACCAATCACGCGCGCGCGCGCGTGCACATATGTTCCCGCGCAATTCCAATTCCGCATATTCGAGCACGTAACTCCTTGAAATGCTACTGATTGTGTGGGCTCAGGTACGGCTGTCGAAGGAGCGCAAAAAGGGGGACAAGATAGTGAGCGACTCGCAGGAACGAGCGTTTTGGAGAATCTATCGGCCACCACCCGGATGTCTCAGCAGCCTGGAAGTCGTGCCCGTACCTACTCGTTTTCGTCCTGGACTTCCACGACCTCCGTCACGCAAACGCACTCTAACCGATCTGCAACGTGAGGTGAGCCCCGAAATACGGTAACACTACACGGAAAAAATAATTTGCTGGCTGCAGCAAATTTTCTGTTGGTCCAGCAAAATCTTTTCGTTATTATATGGACAGCAAAAAGATTTGCTAAGAGTACTAATCACTATTTGCTGGATATAATTTGCTGAATTTACAAATTATTTTGCTGTAAGAACCATGATGGATTTATATAAGCAGTTGCAGTTTTGCTTCGATAGCAAATAAATTTGCTAAGAATACATTATTTTGCATCGATAGCAAATTAACATGATTCTTGAGACAAATACACTCAACAAATTTTTTCTCTCCTGACAACGAAACTATTTCTGCTCTGATAACGATTAATTGGTAAAATTAGTTACGTCAACTAAATTTTTTTGATGTCACTACGAATACGCAGTAGCAACGACGATTTTGCTAAAAGAGCAAAATTATTATTCTCCGTGTACTGTCCGCGATTATCCGTCGTATCTCGCGACGTTTTCACCGCGACATCGTCTCACGACTCAACGCGACCGCATTTTTACCGTCCAGGTGGCCCTTCTACGGAACAGTTTGATACGCACGAGGATCAAGGTCTCGACTGCGATTGAAAATTTTAAATCATACTTCGAAACGTACGTGGAATACGACCCGATGTTTGTACAGCCGAATCCTTCCAATCCATGGATCACTGACGATCACACGTTTTGGCAACTGAATAACCCCCTGTGAGTGATCCGATCGAGATTTTACGTGTCTATTCGTTTCCGCACGAAACGCGAATCTAATGATTTGTTTTCTGCCACGCGCGTCCAGAGTGGAAGTTCCTACGGAGAAGCGTGTTAAACGATGGGCGCTGTCGATGGAAGAACTAATGTCTGATCCTACAGGTACTACAACTCTAACGATCGTTAACCCGGCGTCGTCGTTAAGTCGCGTTCGCCGCAAAGCAACTCTTACGAATTTACGAACGCTTATCCTTGCGCGCTTGTGTTTGCAGGTTTACATGAGTTCACGAATTATTTAAGAAAGGAGTACAGCCACGAGAACATCAGATTTTGGGTGGCGGTTAAAGATCTCAGGCACAGCTTCCAAGCACAGATACCCGAGAAAGTCAACGAAATTTTTAGGTACGTTTTGTCCGAGCAACACATTCGTCGCGACACGAATCTCTCGCCGAAGGAAGATACTCATCTGTGACACTTTGTTGTTCACAGAGAATTCCTGGCGCCTGGGGCTCCCTGCGAAATCAACATAGACGGCAAAACGATGGAGAAGGTTCATCAAGAGATGAAGAATCCGAGCAGATTTACGTTCGATTCCGCCGCGGAGCATGTATATACCCTACTCCTGAAGAAGGACTGCTACCCTAGATTTATTCGCTCCGATCACTATCGTAATCTCTTAGCTGCCGGCGTGCAACCTCTGCAAAAGAAGAGGTACGAAAAACCGAAAGGGGAAAGCCCCGAGTTATCAAACGCACGACTTGGCGCGCCTCACACGCCCTTCTGTTTTCTCTCCCTCAGATTTTTCGTCTTCGGCGGCCAAGCCAAGAAGAAGATTTCCTCTTCGACTCCAACGTCTAGCATTTTGCAGCACGCTAATATAGGTAGTGGCGGTGGCGGTGGCGGTGGCGGCGGTGGCGGCGGCAGGCGAAGAGGAAGCGACCGCAGCCTAACCGGAAGCGCCCACGAGCTCGCCGTATGCGGGGTGCGCGACGTCGCTTCCGCGCCGCGAGTGCCGCACTCCCACAGCCAATCGAACCTCACCGACATCCCATACAGGTATGCGGGGGTTGGGGGCCCATGGGTCCCCGTGCGTTATATACATACATCTATATATATATATACATATATATTTCTGTCCTTCGGCGGGCCGGCGGGATGCTATTCTTTTGCTTTAGCATGCTGTTCGTACGCGCGGCACCGGGTTGGGCGTAGCCGCGATGATAGGCTTATTCGTGCGGTATTTTCAGGGGAGATCTACCACGACTCGTAAAGATACCTTCGAGGCCTAGTCCACGTAGTATTCAGTAAGTCACCCGATACATAACACGGTTTTCTCGATTGAATGTAGGAGCGGGTGACGGCGCGCTCGACGACGTCCGTACGCGCTCCCCGCGTTCGCTCTCTCCGCCATGTCTCGCTTTTGGAACCTCGATATATCGAAGCAGGGGCCTTATTTTTTGAACGCATAGCGAGTGCTAAGTACGCTTCCCTAATTCCAACTTTCATTTCTTTTCATACGAGCATTCATACGAACGTAACATGTTGTCTCAGCTTGAGGATCAGAAAGCATATTTAGCATTCGCTAATACGCCCAGAATATCACCTCCTACCAGAAACGAGCCACGGCGAGGTGCACGAAGAGTGAGCGACCTGACGTCGCAACGACGCTCCGTTCCACCGCGCTCTACGTTGTACGTTCGCATCCGACCTTGGCAAAACCCTTTTATTTCGGTGTGTTTGAAAACTCTCGCACTGTCAGAGAAATCGTTGCGTTTATGGAAAACTCACTGAGATGTGTGTTAAAGCAGTATATCTATATATCATCATTGGTAATTGTACTGTATGACGATCATTGCCCGTTCTCTGAACCCTTTTAAGAAATCTCTGAGTGTTTCTGAATACTATCAAGTACTGTCGTGCGTGGAGTGTCTCAAAAAATTCGCGTCAAACGTCGTAGTTTACCGAAGTATGCGCGTCTGTCTCTCTCGGACCGCAGAGAAATATGAAATTTTCCTTGACTCGGATGATATTTTGAGGCGCTCTCTGTATTTCTGCCTTGATGTCGATATTGTGTGCCGTCCGTATTAAGCTTATTACTCTTTCCTCTGTGTTTATACATGCATACATACATATATCTTATGCAACACACGTTACGTACGATACTTAAGCACACTGCAAACTCTTTTGCACAGTAAGAAAAATATATATATATATATATATATATATATATATATATATATATATATATATATATATATATATACACACACTACAATTTCTCCCTTACATTGTAAAATGTTATCTCTTAAGTGTCTCATCCAATAACCTCCGGAGAACTTCTCTCGACATCGTTCTATAAGCGTAACAATGACCCCGACCCGACCCGACCCGTTTAAGGATCCAACCTCCACAAAGACACACACGAGAGCTAGATCCGTACGGGATGTCCCGGAGCCATCGCGCGTTTCTCGCTTACTCTAGTCCTCTCGAGCAGGATAGTTCCGGGACACTTTCCGCAGACACACACGTGTCCAGACAGCCGAACTTCCTCTAATCGTTGAATGGAGCTGCATGCATGCTATCGACTGACGTTCAGAAAGAGACATACACACCGTCCACAGACACACATACATACACGCCCACACACTTACAAACATTCACACATATACAAAGCGCGTGGTACTTTGCCGAAAGCAAACGGTGAAAACTAAATCATATAATAAAGTTCCTGTTGTCAGGGATGCTGGCGCGACGGAAGTGGCGGTTCGCCCTATGGACGACGTATGCCCATGGGACGCCGCGCCGGGCCCGAGCACGGAACACGCGGCGGATGCTGGCAATGCGGCGGCGGCGGCGGCGGCGGCGATGTCCTCTGGCGGGACAGCGTCAGCTGATCAGACCCGACACGTGTGGGACAGCGGCGGCAGTCACGCGACGACCGCGCACTTCGCCGAGGCCGCACGTGCCTCTCGCAAAAATTCGGCGCAACTGGACTCCTGCAGCTCGTCGTCGGACGTCAGCCTCGCCATCGCGGAGGTGTCCGAGAGGCTGCGGAAGTCGTGCAGTTTGCAGCACAGCGGTAGCCTAGGTTGGTACTCGAGCTGACGTTAATCTGCGCGCGCGAGCGATGAAACAGCAGCGCGTTTGCCTGAGTATCTGAGTATCTTTCATTTCCCCGACTTTTTAGGTGCGCCGACTCCCGGCCCCGGCATGATGACGCGGAACTATTCGACCTGCTCTGCGAGCGGCCGCATCAGACTGTCCGAAACGAGCCGCGCGTCCGTCTCGTCTTGCAATTATCCGTCGCCCCAGCAGTCATTCGAGTACTCTCACGCGGTAGTCGAGAAGGTGGAAGAAAAGTCGTCCTTGGAAAAAATCGTGCCCGAAGAGGAGATGTTCGCGGAACCCGTCGTCGTCGTTAAAGAAGCTCAAGCGAGCAGCAGGTGAGAGCGCTCACGCGATATTCGCATGAGATTCTCCGACACCGGCACTCAGAGACTCATCATACTTCGGTGTAACGTTCCCCAGTCCCAGAACGTGCGCGAAGGCGCCCCTGATCAGTATCAGCGCGATCGTGGGCGACCTGCCGAGCGACAACTCCACGATGGAGAACGCCGACGAGGACGCGAGCGAGAGCTGCACAGCGAAGGACGCGGGGGAGATCGTCGCCGAAGAGAGAGGCGCGCGCGAGGACTCGCGAGCCGACACCGGGGCGGATGTGTCGCCGGTGGCCGAGGAATCGGCGACGACTGAGGAGCCGCCGGAGGAAGCGCAGGTCGTGCCTGTCTGGGAGCCGGACACCCGACAGGAAGAAGACCGATCGGTGGCTCAGGCGGTGCCTCAGGAGAAGCGTGACAATAATGTTAACGAAGTATGCCCGTGGGAGGACGAGTAAGTACCTTAAGCCCGCTTATCCTAACCCTTGTTATCGCGATCATCGCACTCATCAACATATCCCTCTCTCTCTCTCTCTCTCTCTCTCTCTCTCTCTCTCTTT